GAAACACTTCCAATCTCCTTGCTTATATTTTCCTTAATAATATATGTCTATAAGCTAATTTTGGATGGTTTTTGAGGTGCCCGAAAAAACACTACCGTTTAAAAAAGTGCCAAATTGTAAATAATATATGCCCCATAACATTAAAAGTTCCTTGTAATTGCCGCGATTAATCGAATCTTCGGTTTCATCGTGTCCGCGAAAAGCTAATTCTTGGGAACCCAAATAAATCGTAATATCGATAAGATAAAGAAATTAGGCCTCTTTTTGAGCTGTATCTAAAGCTGTTGCTATATTTTGTTTTCTAAACAATTTTAATTTACAAGCCGAAAATATATGCTCCTTAGATTTAAAATATCTTTCTGTAAAGAGGTAAATTTTTTAAATCGGAGTATCCTATTTAAGACCACGTTTGATATTCGGTTTGTACGGAAAATAAAACACAGGGCCAACAAAAAAGTTGTTCTCGTTTAATGGAACCGGTTAACCAATCGCATTTATCGTACCAACTAATATTAAATCCTCGATTTTGTCGATTATCTGATTCTTTGATTGAAATCAAATTTGGTTGAGGCCTTCCCAGAGTTTTAATAATGTAAAATTTATTATCATAAGATAAAGATTATTTGCCAGCAACCAATCGACTATATCGTCAGATTTTTTAATTTCGTCCAACTCATCCATAATAAATGAAAAAAAACTTACCAAAAAGTGAAAACCTGAAAACACCTTGAAATTGAAAGAAAATACTTTAAAAACACATTAAAAATATTACCAAAAAGCACTGCTATAATACAATACTGCCTGTTTTATACACAAATAACAAATATTATCAAGAAACACTAGAAAGATTTACCGAAATATTTTTCAGTCCCGGTCCGTCACGGCATCCCGTCCGAATAATTAAATAAAAAACAAACGCAGTCGTACACTATGGAGACCAACTGGAGGCTAGCCTCCTCTAACGCTATAATTTCTGCCACTGAAATTACAAATCGGGACGTATGTCACTGATTGGATCGGTCTCGTGGAGCCTATGTTTTTTAAAGCGGTCGGAGGCTTGGCTCCCTTGCAACGTATGGCATTTAATATTTTGGGTTGATGGTTTATTCGTTATTCGTTCATGGGCGGTACGTTTGAGTTTTGTTGATGAAGGATACAGTGTGGTACGTACTACGTAGTGAGTGATAGTGTTTTTTCGGGCATATTATGTATTTATATTAAAAATTAATGGTAAAGTAATGATACCCAAACATTTTTAGAAAAAAATAATCATAATTATTTGTTAATATCTTTTGATTCATTGCGATGAATAGCCTCAAATTGTATAGGGAGGCTGACCCCCCCTTGCCTCCTCTGACGAGCCGCCGCTGGACTCACTGTTGGTAGCGACATAAGAGCTGATGATCGTAAGCCTCATGTCTCAAAGAAGGTAATATTGTTCCTTTTTATTGTTCATTTGGGTCTGAACGGGACGCATTGGCATCACAGGAGTAACATTACCAAAACTGTCGGCGCTACTGCGTAACCCACTTTACCTAGTTATAAAGTACTTTTACTTAGTTTCGATTATATTAGTTTAGTGTGTTGTATTGAAATTTCAAAACGTTTTCTTAGCTACCTTTGAATAATTGTAAACCGATGGTATGCATACTAGAGGGTAGATAATTCATCAGTTGAATTAGACAACGAGGATATCATTGTGACAAAATCCTTCATTTTAATATTATTTATTTTTCCTTGTGAACAAATCAAATTTTTTAGATTGGTTACGGAAGTTAGAACTGACAATTTTCGTTACAATTTTTCTTTGTTAAAAAAAATAACTGTCTTTATATTTGACCGACGCTCTCCCACAACTTTCATCAATAAAAAATTCGCAAATTAATTTACTCCTTTCTTCTTTCTTTATACCTACTCCCGTCTCCACTGTTGAAAAGCTGGTAGGGCATTTGAGGAGGTAATAAATGTAGTGATAGTGATACTTGTCGTTGAACTGAACTTCGTTAAAATCAATTCGAAATTTTGAAGTCGAAATTAAGGTAGCCCCTAAGTTGACAGAGTATGGTCAATTTTCATACAGTGCATTAAAAAATGTGAACATCAGTTTCTTTTGACATCATGCAAAGAAATACCAAAGCAAATCGATGTATTTAAACAGAGAATATAAAAAAGTTATGAAATTATTTATGTGAATATAAAATTCCTTAAATTATTCCAACATTTTATATTTTTTCAAGTCGACTATGTTTCAGGTAAACTTGAAGAGCATACAATTTTTTCATCTGCTGGCATTTTTCTTCGGTCAAATATGTCAAATATTGATGTACTGTTGGTATGGACAAACTTTGATGGAAAGTGTAAGTGGAAATGTCGTTGCTGTTTAGAGTTGGGTCAATTTCTAACCTAGAACTGACAATTGATGTGGTTTTATCAATATTCAAAATGAGATCATCTAAAAGAACAATTCGTTCAGGCCAGTCTCTACTCCCTACACTGTAGATTAATGGACTGACAACTATCAGAAAACAACTACTCCCCTGGCTACTGCCACGAAGGGCGTTGGATTATATCCGACAGGTGTCAGTGCAGCATTCTTCCCTGAACTTATTCTTGCATATGCTGTTGGCGATACAACTGCCGCCATAGATTTTCAAAATAGAAAAGATTTAGATCGAACTGACTTTTTCTGCTTTTAAGTCTCATTCGAATAATTTTCATTGTCTCTGTCGATCAATAATCTAACCGAAGTCAGATTTGAATCCTCAGATTTGATAATTTTCAGAGTGACTCTATCAGCGAAGCCTGCTACTTCTCAGATTGGTTCAAATGTAGTAGTCAAACTCAAAAATATTTTCTCATAATCATGGAAAGATCCAAACGACCGGTAATTATGATGGCCGGAAAGTTTTTCTTTCTCCACTTGGATACTTTAATGGCAGTAAGTAGCTTTTAAAATTATATGCATACATGTCGTCATTTGAATAGGCTTCATTTCCAATTGTTTGATTTGAACCTTTTGTCATTCCAGATTTTGAAGTCTTCTTATTCATACTTCGCAGTACTTCAACAAATCTACAGTGACAAATAAGAAATCTCAACTGTATTTTGTTCTAATAGAAAGCTGTCTACACCTTCACTATATAGACAGAATTTCATTCGGTATAAACTCATGATATTGAACTCAACGTGTTTGCAAAAGTGAAATTCTGTTTCATCCAACACCTATACATGCACTAATTTTTGCACATACACATAGAAAATAGCATCAAGTTCAATGAAGGGTGTTTTTTTTAATCTCCTCTAACATAAAAGTAATGTTACATTTTTCCCGTGAGTTTGAGAATAATTGACTACACTATACAATTAAATTCAACTTTATTTCACTTGCTACACTGACAATACAACGAACACTTCAACTGAAACTTAGACTAATATTCAAATGTCAATCGCCATCAGTGTTGGTAGTGTTATGGATAATGCTACACTGCAATACAACAAACACTTCAACTGAAACTTAGACTAATATTCAAATGTCAATCGCCATCAGTGTTGGTAGTGTTATGGATAATGCTACACTGCAATACAACAAACACTTCAACTGAAACTTAGACTAATATTCAAATGTCAATCGCCATTAGTGTTGGTAGTGTTATGGATAATGGAAGTCTCTGGTAGTCGATAGGAAAGTCGCTAGAAGTGTTTCGAAGCGACTCGGTATATAGAACAATTGCGAAGCGCAAGTCGAGTTGAACGCTATCTTGGCCAAGTCACAATCGATTCACGATGACCAGCGGCGGCCGACGTTACTTTTTTCGTGGGATAATTTACAACACTAAAAAAATCTATTTTCATTATGGAGTTCATTCAAGTCTACATCTATCTCATTGACTTTTGCATCTTCTCTGTCAATTATATCCTAATAATATTGTTTGAACAAGGTAATTTTCACTATTTTCTGAAGTGTAAAATTACTGTAATAACTGAAATAACTGTTGCTTATGTAAGATCTTTCTTCTTCATTTGAATTTCACTGGTAATGTCGAATGATTTGGCAATTAGATGAACTCAAGATTAACAGATGTTAGTGAATATTACCATCTGTGAGTACGATGAAGCTTCCTTATCTACAGTGTCCGCGTACAACAGTATTTGTATGACGTATATAAAGTGCCCTGTTTGTCAATTCCTTATTAAAGGATTGAATGTTTGATGGGGAGAAAAAAGAGGTGATGTATCCCGTTGACTAGAGATTGTTGAGATAATTTTGAACAAGATGCATAAAATATCCTTGATGCGATCACTTGGACCCTTTTCCCATGTAAAATATTTTGTCAAAAACTCCTCGACTTATGTCAGTCTTGATGAAGAAATATTAAGTTTCAGTCTCTCATACCCAGAGGTACTTAGTACCTATACTTAAAAGTGACGGCTTGACAATATCAAATTAGTACTTCAATTTTCAATGCTATTTACATCTGAAAATAAATTAATATCAAGTAAAAGATTTTTTTATATTATCGTCCATAAATTGAATATCTCAATAGAATACGAGCCACAGATTTAGATTTTTGCTTCATCTATCAACATGTTCACAAAGTTGTGTCAAAATTATTTCTCGTGTCGAAAGCTTCTCACAAAAGAGAATTGTTAAAAACACCAAAGTCTCTGTGACCAGGGCTTCTATATATCTTGCCTTTGTATAGAGTCCATATACCAATACATTGTCTAAATATCTTGCTTTGTAACTTCAAACAAGGTCATCTATGTGCCAGTAGTTGAATTAAACCAGGTAGTTAACTTGAACAAATGTGACTGAATTTTTTTTCATATTTATGCCTAATATACCGGTAACGTAAAATTGTTTCAGGTCTTGACCCGCATGAATATATTCGATACAATACTAACTATTTCATAAACACAAATTTCTCGATAGTAGAAAAAAATAAATATTACAATTTGTTATAAATATTTTCATAAACTTTAATGAAGTTAATTTGTAGCAGTGCCATTCAACTGGCAAGATCCTCTTAATTTGGAGTCCCTTCTCACTGAAGATGAAAAACTTCTCAGGGACCAATTTAGAACGTATTGCCAAGAAAAATTACTCACCAGGGTTATAGAAGCCAACAGACATGAAAGTAAGAATTTTTCGTTATTATTCAAGTTAGTAATATCTCTAAAGCTGATACAAAGTTTCTATTACAAAAAAAAGAAATTGTCTGATAGTGCTGTAACACTTGGCTTGATTTTCAGTTTTCCATCGAGAAATTATGAACGAAGTTGGTGAACTTGGTGTTTTGGGTTGCACCATAAAAGATTACGGATGTGCTGGGGTATCGAATGTAGGTTATGGATTGCTTACTAGAGAGGTCGAAAGAATTGACAGTTCTTACAGGTCAGCAGTTAGTGTCCAGTCTTCCTTGGTTATGGGGGCCATTCATGATTATGGAAGTCCAGAGCAGAAGCAGCAATATCTGCCACTTTTGGGTAAATCTTTCTTCTGATTTTGACATGTAGAGACAGTTTTCCGAATTATTACAGATGTCAAAAGGACAAACATCTTCATAGTTGGTTATGACATTTTTGATAACAGAAAAGGATACAAGAATCGATAATTTCATCATTTGAATAATGTGCTCCTTAGAGGAAATGAAAGTTTTCCTATAATCCATTTTCAAAAGGCTTGTAGTAATAAATCACTCAACACATATGTGGAAAGCGAAGAAAAATAATGAAAATAACCACATTTCAAATTTTTGTCATATATTCAATTTGGGTAAATTTATGTGAATACTTTTCTAGCAAAAGGTGAATATATTGGATGTTTCGGCCTGACAGAACCGAATCATGGAAGCGACATTGGAAGAATGGAAACTAAAGCTACATATGATGCTCCCTCAAAAACATACACATTGAATGGAAGTAAAACATGGTGAGAAAAAGCATTCAGTGTAATTAATTATTCAAAATCCTCAAGTGTTTTCATTTATTTATATTCCAAATAGGATAACGAACTCTCCAGTATCAGATATTTTCATAGTTTGGGCCAGATGTGAGGATTCAAAAGTTAGGGGTTTTATTATTAATATAAATAACATATAATTTTAATTTTCCTATAATGGTACTAAAATTTTGCAATCCTAGAATAAGTATGTCACAATCACGTAACAAATGATGTTATAAAAACTTGTACAATATTCTATTCTGTTTCTCTCTGCTGCAAGACCATTCTCAATGTATTTTCGCAAACTGCAGTTAGACTAATGATGAAAGTACCCGTAATTCAAACTTTTGTTTGACACACTGCTCAAGCCCTCCTTATGTAAGAGGTTAATTATATTTTTGTTTTAGGTACCCATGACGTGCATGCTTTGATACTGGGTCGTGCAATTACAGGGATTGCAGCTTTTTAAATTTTGGATATGAATCGACTAATGGTGCTATTTTATTGTTTTATCTTGTATAAATGAATTCAATTTTTAATTATTTGTTTTATTGAAAAGTATTACCGCTTTCCGGAGAACTCAATAAGTTTTTGTAACTTTGAGTGGTAGAATCTTAGGCTTGGTGTATAAATTAATGTACAAAACTCTGACTAGTAATATACATTTCGAATATTTGAGTTATTTTTGAACAGAATGTTTTTGTATGATTTTCAGAATTTTGATAAACGTGTAGTCACTTCAGCTCTACCAGTTTTCAAGCTTGCAGATGCTTTCAAGTCATATTTTTTTCCCGAAAATCTAATGAAAATGTTCATTCCGATTCACTGCTTGATCCATAATCGCCAACTAAACTTGTTTTTGGCTTCTTAATATCTTGATTTGTCACCATTTCTGAACTACTCCTCTTTGGCATGATTCCCAAGTCCTTCTTAGTGGAATTCAAAATTTTCATAGCTTTTTCTTCTTTGTGTCGAGAAAAGTTACTTGTCGGTAAAGATGACTGCGATATTATTTCTTTCCTTATATCTTCTGTAAGTTCCGATATGCTTTTGGATGGTGTGAGTTTCATACTAAGTAAGGATGCATATTTTTTATCCTCTTCTCTCTCTGACAATAAAGGAATGTCCAGACTAGATTTTTTTAGAAGTAATTTGTCCTTCAGTGTCTTTTGGTTCAGTTCACAATTTGTTTTCTGCAATAAAAAAGGTTTTTTTGCAAAATTGAACATGAAATGCTGAAATACTGTAGAAAAAATCTGCTCAAAATCTGTTTTCCGTTAACCAGCTGTCGCACCCCAACGAACAACCCTCAGAAGTTGAAACTTGTGCGAGCTAAGGATTAACGAGGTCTTACCTTTTAACGTGTGATCCCTAATACTTCAAAAAAATGTTGGGCAATTTGAGAGACGAAATAACAGAAATGGAAAAGTCTGGGATTTACAAAATAAGCTGTGATGATTCCACCAAAAAGTATGTTGGTCAAAATAAGCGGACTATAATAACTTGTTTCAAATGCAACGTGTTCCTTAAAACAAGTCATTTGGTTTTGTGAACCAGGAAAGTTTAGTTACGTACAAGCTTTAGACAATAAATGAAAAATACTTGAAATTATTGAGACAGTACATAACAACAGGTTTTTAGACGCCTTTGGAATGAGATCTATGAAGTCCCATTCCAAACAGCTAGTTGTTTACTCTCTTACAATTAACCAGGAAAGTGTTTTCATGAAAATTAATTGCCTGTTTTTTACTGTTGAGTAAACCAGGACATACCCTGAATTCTGCTCTAAGTTTTTGATTTGCGGTATATGAATCTGCCCAAAGATCTTCGTTCCTGTTGAATAATTTTGACAGCCTGGGTTTCGCACTATTTGCTATATTTTGATCCTCTTCCCCGTGTTCAAGTTTGAACATGGAGTCATCAAACAACCGTTTTTGGGTTTCTTTAGTTTCTGGGACAACTTGTCCATTTTTGGTAGGGTCCCATCGATTCTCTTGTCGTTTTGCTCCAGATTGTATAACATAATCAAGATTCTAAAAGAAAACAAATTTTCAAACCTCTTGAAGTATAGATTGAATCTCATGTACTTACAGCTGGATCAGCTCTTATAACAAAGTGATTATCACAGAGATGGCATTTCATCTTGAATTCGTATACGGGGGTAGTATAGTACATTCCAACTTTAGTCTTTTCGGCATTGTAGCGCACACCCATTCCAATGTGATTTTTGCATCCCTCACACCAAATATTGTAAGGCATTTCGAAACGTATTATTATAATACCTTTATCTATTTTCCTCGCTCTTTCTCTTAGAGCATGGGTCCCCAAAAATTTATTCAATCCCCCGGCCCTAGGGTCGTAGTCCGGGGGATAATACTTATTAACGCCTTTTCTCTCACCCATTTTCAGTTACTGCAGATTGTTTCCAAGTACTTTATCCCAGATTTCAAAATGCTAGAGTTGATGTGTAAATATTAACCTAATTTTTGTGACATTTCTATTTTTTATTATTCTTTTTTTTTAATTTCCTTACATTTGGCATTTTCTGTCGGGTGCATTCAACCAATATATATTTCAATATTTACCCTTATCAGCTAAACGCTTCATTCGAGTAGACACCCAATGATAAAGGCAGACTTTATGTTATTGACACAGTATTCCATGAGCTTTAATGCAATTACAAATGCTATCAAGATGACAGGATGCCATTGAAATGGCATCTTACCACAAAGTTTTTTTCATGTCTTGAAGACGCGCGTCTAAAAGATTACTTCAGTTTTGGTCTTTAGAAAGAATGCTTGTTTTGTAAAATATTTCAGCATTGACACATATGCTTCTTCGACCCCAGAGTAAATATTATATATTAATCTTAAGTGTTCCCCATCAAATCTACGTAATTTGGAGATCTGAACTTATAAAGAAAATATTTGGTTTTTTTAGGTTTGTTTGTAGTAGATAAACTCAAAAAATACTTAACAGATTTCAAACATTCTGCATCAGGAGTCAACAACAATTCATAGAGAAGAATAGATATCATTCGAAAACTATAATAATATTTGAAAAAAGGCTGTTCAAATAAATTTTTTGTCGACCAGTTGTTACCACCTGATGAACGACAAACCCCCAAAAGTCTGAACTGGTATCAGTTCCTATCTTTCAACGTGCGATTCCCAGTACAAGTCAGGAGATATGCAGTGAAATTGAAAAATCCTATAGTCGAATTGGAATCACTCTTCACATATTGCTTAATTGAATGAGTAGAATGAACCTCTCATGCTGATCAACCGAGTACAGACTGATACTCGAGACATCAAAAATTTGCATAAAAAAGTATTGGCGTGGAGCTGGTCGCTAGCTAGAAATAACGGTTAAATTTTGATGAAAAAATACATGAAAATTGAAAGAGAACTCTTGAAAAAGTATTCAATTTCGGAACTAATGGTGATTCTTTTGGATACCTCGTATGAAAGTCAAAGAAATTCTCGAGAACATCCATAACAAGTCCATAAGAAAAAATCCATAGCTGATTCGAGCATCAGAATGCAAAACATAAGGTGGTACTTATTGTTTTAGGGTTTTCTGTGTTTTGAGTTGTTTATTTGCACATTTCTAGGAGTAGCTTCTGATATTCTCAATAGGCTCGTATCTGGATGATGAAGCTCCCTATCTTACGGAAGTCCATTTCACTAAGCCCTACAAAAATTTCATAGCCTGATCTTGAGAAGAAATTAAAACAGAAATGATTGTTTAGCATATGAATATGAAATTCTTTCAACTCTATATAGTTAGTTGAATAATAATCTTATTGCATAACGTTTTTTGTAGAGTAATGATATTTGTAACTCAAATTTCAACATATTGTCAGTCAGAATCCCAAGAAGTTTGTTGCTAAATGCAGTCGCATCTAAATAACATGGGGTAATGTCAATAATAGTCTTTGGAAATGTCACCCACACTGAAAAATGGTTTTTAGAATCTGACAAAACCATACATCAAAGTATATTGTGGTTTAAATTTTATGTATTCATGTCATGAAAAAGTATCTTTCTCTCTGGAAACACTATAGATTCATCATTCATTTTGATAATATGGGTAATTCTCAGTGCCTGTTATCCTTGGCAGTTTTCAGGGCGTGATAAGCTCCGCCACTGTCCTGAAGCAAGAAAAGTTTTTTCCTACCGCACAATAACAACTAACAACCTAAGCTCGCAATTAGTGACCTAAGTCCATGCACTAGAAACGGAGTAAGTCACAAAAAATGTATGATAATAAGAAGACGATATTGTGAATTTAGAGGTTAGGATTTGGGATTTGTTTATTTTTGGAAAGATCATAGATATAATTCATAAAATCTATGGGAAATATTTAAGGCAAATAATTATTTATGAAATAAAACTATATCACAAGCATATCAAAACATGATAGGTGTTCGTGTGAGTGCTTTTAATGAAAATGGATTAGGCGAACCTGACCAAGATGCTAATTCTGCTCTAACAGAATTGGATAAAGGTTACTTTCTAACAGTATAAGCTTTTCCAGAATTACACTATCGTTTTTTTCAGGGCTGAGGTCAGCAAAAGTAGGAGAGCAGTGCGAGGCGATTGTGCGATTTCCAAAACTATTTGAGAAATTTCCATTTCCTATATTGATCAATGCTTCACTTCTAAGACTATCCGATGTGTTTCGAATAGGGTAAGACTCTCAACCTAAGTTCATCTTTTCATGTTCAATAACGTCCATTTTTTAGCAATAATTTTCTACGATTGTGTGTTCTGCGAGTTTGTATCCAGAGTGAAAAACATCTGGATAAAATTTCAAACGTTGACGAATTTGTGAAAAGAGTATATAGCGTTATACACAGTAATGATCCAATTGCGAGGGCTGTCACCTTGAGAATTTTTGGTGCTGTGGCTGCTATTATTCCAGAGAGACAACAAATACATCACTGCATAAGAAGTAGCTTAGACTCTCATGATAGTGTTGAAGTTGAGGCTGCTGTATACGCGGCAATACAGTTTGCTGCACAGTCTAAGTAATGTCGAAATATAGTGTATTTAGAAAGATACTTTCATTTAATTGTTTTCAGATTATTTGCAATCAGTATGTGCAACAAAGTTTCAGATATGATTCAGGGACAGTCTACTCCAGCAAATATGAAATTGCAGCTGATCCCAATTCTTCAGTACATGCATCATGATACAAATACAGCTGCCATGGTCAGATCACTTTGTATTGAACTTCTTCCAGGTGAGTTGAATATTTACATAATTAATATAATATGATATTCTGCAGAAAGTTACTTGGGCTTCATTTGGAAGTATAAAAAGTTATTCAGAAGAAGAGTAAACAGGTTGTTCAACCTTTGTTGGATGTGTGGAACCTTCAACATACATAATATATTTCAAATTATTTTGTTTAACATATCTCTTGGACATTCTGATAATGGCTGTGCTGTGTGAATGCTTATTTTTCATTATTCAAGTTCTCATTAAAGAACATTTCCATAGGATTATTGCATTCAAAAATGTTGATACTTATCAACTGCATAAACCATATAGAGTAACTTGAAGATTACTTGCTATTCTAAGAGTACCATCTAATGCATTCAATAGTGTTTGAAGTTTGTAGGGATGAAAGAAAATTCTTTCTGTTTTATATATGAATGCTTGGTCCTCATGAAGAAATTTCCAAAGGTAGTACGATCACAAATGAGGAAATACATACTTACCACACTAGAAAGAAAACTGACATTAGATTACCTAAACCGAGAATAAATCTAAACACTCTTCTAGATATGTGACAATAAACTTTTACCATGCCATGGATGATGAAAAAAATTCTTATTGCACAAAGTTTCTACTCTTTAGAGGAATACTCAAATTTCTTTTCGTATTCAATTAGATAAGTTATTCTCATCTTATGAAGTCTTAAAAATGTCATGTTGTTCATTACTCTACCGTCTACTTATTCTATTTTATATACACACATCGGAAAAGTCTAGGGATATTTTTAAAAATGGCAATAATTTTTTTTNACAAAATTTCTCTGAACAGCTAAACAATTAATTTTCAGAGGGTCTATCATAGCATTGAGAAAATTATATCTGATTATAGTATTAATAATAGAGATATACCTTAACTGAATATATTCTTCTTTTTAGGCTATCCTGCTCAAGAATTTGTTCTAGTCACTCTCAATACCTTGACAAAACTTGCAGCTACAACTTTGGTGGATATCCCCAGTCAGATACATTTGCTACTGAAGTACTTGAAGAACGACCCGCGATGGGAGGTAAAGTCAAAAGCTCTGCAGCATTTGTACGAGTTGGCCAAGCCAGGGGCACATTTGTGGCCACCGGGGTCAGTTGAGGATATCATCGATTACGTCTTGAGCTCGAATCAGAAAAAAATACTGTTGCCAGCTTTAAGTGAGTGCAGGATAATTTAACATATTTCAATTTCTGATGCTTTCTATTTTAATTTGATTCCGCTAATGTATTTTACTTGAAAATAAGTTTATGGTTTTGGCTAATTTGAACAATATAAGAAGTACTGTTTAGATATATTCATATGGATGTTCCAATTCCAAAGTAATCAAGTTTGAATTTGTTTCATGGCTTATGTGCTAAAGGTAATTCAGACCCGAAGGAGCTGGGTGCCAATCTATTTCTTTTAGGCGCTAAAAATTAGTATATTGATTTTATTGCACTTCAAAACAATCTAAGTCTATATTCATCTCATCAAATATTGTAAACTTGTGCAACAAACACTCCAAGAAATAATTAAAGTCAAAAAAATTAAATACAAGTGTATGTTATGAATTCTTTCAAGGTGTTAAACAACTTTCACACATATTTCAACAAATGTAACTGTATAGAATCGAGTATTAATTACTTTTGAATAAATAAAGTGCTTCAACGAATTCCTTCTTGTTGTCAAACCATAATTCAATGAAAACCTTGATATCTGATTTGACTTTTTGGTGTCAAGGAGTTTTGCAGGTCCTGGTTGAGTCTCCTAGAATGTGCCACGAACATCGTTCATCGGGATCAAAACTCAGAGAACTGTGCAGCAACCATTGTTACTCCCCCGAACCTGGTGTTGCAGCCCAATCGATACAAATACTTACGCAGATACTCTGCTATTGGTGAGAATCATCGGATAATTATTTTCAAAAACGCTTGATCTGATAGGCCGGTATATTCCTTTTATTTTAGTTACAAAGAAAACTTGGAGACTGATGGCGTTGACGAAGTGATTGCGGCTTTGGAGACCCTGGTTCTGTTACTGACTTTCATCAGCGATAAACATCCAACGCAGCTGAAATTGGTTTTGAAGTGTGCTGTGAGACTGTGCGAAGCTAGACAGCAGTATTGCGAGGTTTTCGTTGAGCTTTTAGGAACCAGACTTGACAATATTGACAGTAAGTTGTATATATCCAAATACAAGTTTTGTATTGCATTGTAGCCATTTTGATTTTATACTTTGTCATTGTGATAAAACATTTCTGACAAACTATATTTTGGTTTATCAGTTTGGAAAAATATTAGGGGTTTATACTGTTAGGTTTTTTTCCGTGGGTTGACCAATAATTGACTACACTAAAAAGTAATCCAACTTGACTTTATTTCACTTTGAATACAACAAACATTTCAACTGAGGCTTCAACTATCATTCGAATACATATCTCCACAATTCTAAAAGAATCAGTTGATATTATATCTAGCACTTTAACGTTAATAGTAAACAACTCTTTAATGAGTGGAACATTCCCAAATGCACTAAAAATCACAAAGTCGATTCCTATATCCAAAAAAGGGGATACACAGTGTGTTGAAAATTATAGGATAATTTGCCTCCTCAGCTGTTTTTCCAAAATAATGGAAACAGCAGTGTACAACCAAATAATCAACTATTTAAACAAATGTAATACTATTACTTTATCTGAGCATGGATTTCGACCTAACCACTCAGTGGAGACAGCATCTGTTGATTTGACACAATATATATATGATAATATCAATGAAAACAAAGTTGTAGGAGGACTTTTCTTTGACCTGTCGCGTGCATTCGACACCATAAAGCACGAGTATTTACCAACCAAATTAGAGGCAATAGGTATACGAGGCCCAGTTCAGCAGTGGATCCTATCATATATATCTAGGAGGACGCTTGAGGTGCAGATTGAGGACGAGTTCTCTGATAACTTTGACATTACAATTGGCACTCCCCAAGGTGGTGTCTTAGGCCCCTTGCTATTTTTGCTTTATGTGAATGATTTACCCACTCACATTAAGCATGGACAAACCTTTATCTATGCGGATGATACCACAGTTATTGTTGTGGCTGACACCGCTACTGAATTCCAAAAGAAAATTAAATTGGTNGGTGCCATCGGAAGCCTTAAACCTGAAACCGTACTGCCCCTCGTGGACCCCATCCTCAACTTGCTCACCGCCCTTTCGGAAGTTCCAAATCCGACCCAACATCAGACACACACGAAAACCATGCTGTGCACTCTGATTTTCCAAACCCTGTCCGGTTATAAATGGAACGAGGTCACTTTCAATACCATCCTTAAAGTCGTCTCCAGCAACAACCTGTGGGCCAACTATTGCATCGCCAGGGCTGCGGTAAGGTACGGACATCATCGGGTTGCTCATCATATTTTCTCCGGGCTCACCGAACAAGTTAGCTCCGAGCATTTTCACTTTTGGCTGGTTTGCTTGAAGGAGATGTCTCAAGCAGAGGCCCAGCTGTATAGCGAAGAGACTGAGAGCCTTGTCAGTAGACTGGATAAGGCTATTTTCCACTATAATAAGGCGATAGCTGCTTTGAAGGTAATTTTATATTTTGTTTCCGAAGTAATAGTTCTCAATCGCTTACTGACATCATATAGTAATGAGCTAAAAGGAAGCAAAAAATTAAACATTGAACTACAAAAACACATAACATTAAACAGACATCTTTTGAAATAACCTAATATATAATAGAAAAATGTCTTCTCAAAAAATACTCCTGGAGATCATTTTTCTGCTTCCTAATCCACTACAATCGATCCTAAATAATTTTGATTCGAAGAAGAGGTGCATATGACATGCTCAAGTTTAGGTGAAAATACCAAACCCTTGCCTCTCATTTTAACCTATGATTTCGTAGGTACGTGTGGCAGATACCCAACGAAAAACAAGCACTTATGCAACGTCTTCCAATTGGAGAATCTCCTAAGGCAGATAACAAAAAAATTTGACTAATACACTCCACAAATTATGCAGATGACACTTCTATTCTGATATCTGACAAAGCAAATGCAGCTTTAGAAACACAATTTAATATTATATTGTCGAATCTTTATGAGTGGTTCTGCAGAACATTTTTATCAAATTGAAACGGTATCATGTGTGAAATTTTTGGGCCTTCATGTCGATGAGTGTCTTGACTGGAAGAGACATTGTGAGGCAGTCATTTCAAATATGAATTCTGTAATTTATATGCTTTCCAAATCCTAGAAGTGTTCTCACTCATGTCCGGTTAACTATGCTGTACTTTGCTCAGACAGAATCTCGCTTGAGATATGGCNAAATATCAAAATCAATTTAATACCATCTCAACTTATAGTAAACGTTTAGTCTTACTTCATTTCCCTTCCAACACCTACTCTAGCCCTTTCACAAAATTCTATTATTTTCAATAGCAAGAAGTTATTTAATTACCTTCCCATTAATTTAAGGCGAATATATAATGAAAAGAAATTCAGAAAGAAAGTAAAAGAATTCCTTGTTGAAGGCCCAGTGTGGACGAATTCTACCAAGGCATGTAGCTTTGTGTAAACAAGTTATTGAAATCAACACGAAATGGATATCAATGTTCATTAGGTAGCATTTTATATTTACATTTACTCAATATTCATATATTCATGTACTTATATTTGTATCTGTTCAGCTGTGCTTGATATTGTTCTGTCCATATACTCTGCTCTTATCTCTAAACATTATTTTGTAGTTTATATTTGTTAATTTAATGTCCCATATACACATTTTACTTTACTAGACTTTGCCCAATGAGATGTTCAGATCTTGGGTAATGAAGCATATTTTGATTTGATTTGTGATGTGAATGTTGTAGACTTAAATTTAGGCTAGGTATTATTTTAACTTTTAGGACATAGACTAATCCTTTACAGATTATTTTGTCATAAGGGAAATAAAGTCTTCCTAACTTATTAATGATGCATTTCAAATTGAGGGAATCGTTGATTAACGCTCAATATGGGCCTCACCTTTAGCCAGAATTCAACGATATTTGTAACAGCAATTGAGATGAATTCGTTTATCCTCCAGGTTGCAGGGCAGACTTAACATCGACATCAAAGGGATCAGTAGGCAAATCCATCAACCTATTTTCATGAAACCTGCATTAATCCCTAAGCTAGAGTATTTCTTCGCACAACAAATTTGATTCAAAATGTATATCAACATTTATATCATTTTCTATGGCAAGAATGGCCGAATTTGTTAATCTCGAGATAGAAATAGTGAGGTTGTTGCCACTTCGTCTGCATTTGACTCCACTTCTCTCGACGCGTCTCTTTCGCACACTTACTTACCCTTGCGTTTGGCACGTACGTAACATTGCGCGCGATTTCGAATGACTAATTTTTTTTACATTTTCCAAAATAACAAATTGGCGCTTCTTGCCGCCCCCTTTCGTATGCCCCTACTTGTTGATAATTCACTTGAACGTTGAAGTTTAGTTTAGTTTTAGTTTTTTTATTGGTCACAAGTACACCATGGTGTCTGGACAAGTCACATAAAATACACATATATAACATATATAAAATTGTAAATTATAAAGTATCGATCCTAAATAATTTTGATTCGAAGAAGAGGTGCATATGACATGCTCAAGTTTAGGTGAAAATACCAAACCCTTGCCTCTCATTTTAACCTATGATTTCGTAGGTACGTGTGGCAGATACCCAACGAAAAACAAGCACTTATGCAACGTCTTCCAATTGGAGAATCTCCTAAGGCGGATAACAAAAAAAATTGACTAATACACTCCACAAATTATGCAGATGACACTTCTATTCTGATATCTGACAAAGCAAATGCAGCTTTAGAAACACAATTTAATATTATATTGTCGAATCTTTATGAGTGGTTCTGCAGTACATTTTTATCAAATTGACAAGGTATCATGTGTGAAATTTTTGGGTCTTTATGTCGATGAGTGTCTTGACTGGAAGAGACATGGCAGTCATTTCAAATATGATTTCTGTAATTTATATGCTTTGTTATCCTAGATGTGTTCTCACTCATGTCCGGTTAACTATGCTGTACTTTGCTCAGACAGAATCTCGCTTGAGATATGGCATTGTCTTTTGGGAAATGTCATCAAAATTTAAAGATGTTTTCATCTCCCAGAAAAACATAATCCGTTGTATTGCTAGTGCATCAAGTACAACCAATGTAAGAATCATTTTAAAGAATTTAAAATCTTAAATCTGCCATGTCTGTTTGTTTTTGAAGTCTGTATATTTGTATATTGTAATAAAAACATTTTAAAATGAATGCAGTCAACACAAAACAATGTAATGATCTATATTTTCAGATCAGTTTATTTTGCACAAATTGAGTCCTATTTTACGTTATGGAATTTGTTTCTGGGGAAATTGTGCACAATTTCGTTTCGATACGGTATTCTCTCTACAAAAAAGATCCATCAGATATTTATGCAAGCTACAGGGATTCATGCCGCCCCTTATTTGTGAAGCAAAAAATTCTGACCTTAGTATGTCTTTTTATTTTGGAAACAGTGTGTCTTATCCACAAAAAATATCAAAATCAATTTAATACCATCTCAACTTATAGTAAACGTTTAGTCTTACTTCATTTCCCTTCCAACACCTACTCTAGCCCTTTCACAAAATTCTATTATTTTCAATAGCAAGAAGTTATTTAATTACCTTCCCATTAATTTAAGGCGAATATATAATGAAAAGAAATTCAGAAAGAAAGTAAAAGAATTCCTTGTTGAAGGCCCAGTGTGGACGAATTCTACCAAGGCATGTAGCTTTGTGTAAACAAGTTATTGAAATCAACACGAAATGGATATCAATGTTCATTAGGTAGCATTTTATATTTACATTTACTCAATATTCATATATTCATGTACTTATATTTGTATCTGTTCAGCTGTGCTTGATATTGTTCTGTCCATATACTCTGCTCTTATCTCTAAACATTATTTTGTAGTTTATATTTGTTAATTTAATGTCCCATATACACATTTTACTTTACTAGACTTTGCCCAATGAGATGTTCAGATCTTGGGTAATGAAGCATATTTTGATTTGATTTGTGATGTGAATGTTGTAGACTTAAATTTAGGCTAGGTATTATTTTAACTTTTAGGACATAGACTAATCCTTTACAGATTATTTTGTCATAAGGGAAATAAAGTCTTCCTAACTTATTAACGATGCATTTCAAATTGAGGGAATCGTTGATTAACGCCAAATATGGGCCTCACCTTTAGCCAGAATTCAACGATATTTGTAACATCAATTGAGATGAATTCGTTTAACTCCAGGCTGCAGGGCAGACTTAACAACGACATCATAGGTATCAGTAGGCAAATCCATCAACCAGAACACAGATTCATTATTACAGGTTTACTATGCATTTGTGTATTCCGCAATTTCTTACAATATTATAGTATGGGGTCAGGCATCAGACATAATAAGAATTTTTGTTGCTCAGAAAAGAATTATAAGGCTTATCTTTAACATTAGTAGTCGCCAATCATGCAGACAGGTTTTCAAAACTAAACGGATCCTCACGGTTACANGAAAAAAGGACTGTTTTGAAATTTGCTTTTTTTTCCTGAAAAAGAAAATCTTGGTTGTATTTCCAGAAAGAGACTCAAAAATCAATGTCGAAATTGAAAAACAAAACAAAAACCAACATACCTATATAATAAATTGATGAGGTGGATTGAATTTCTTCTCAGTTTCCTCGAAAATTAATTGAACCTTTTTTACTTTCTACTAGAATTTTCATTTATATTGTTGTTGATTATTTCAGCAAGTGGAGATCCTGAAAAAAATCGTTGAGCTATTAGCAAACGCATCTTTGCCGATTCCAAAGTATTTCTTCCAAGTTCTTCAGTCGACCAGTGTAAAACTAGCAATTTCTCCCCAACCTCGGGTTTTGGGCGAATTCATCAGCGTCCAGGCTGGATCTCAGTTGGCTGTTAAAGTCGAGGGAGTAATACAGCACGGTATGAAGCCCGGATTGTTCAGGAGGATAGAAGAAGTTGTTATTACTGTCACTTCGCAGCTGCAGAATAATCCAAAAAATAAGGAGGTTCTGGATCCCAAGGTAAATTTTATATTTGCACTAATAAAAAATTGTATGGCATGAGCCAACCGATATGCCGACCCTCAGTAACTTCTGTAACGGTGATTTGACGGTTCTCCATAACAATTCTCTTCATTTTCTCTATATTTTCATCAGTTGTACCACTTGTAAACATTTTTCTGACCCAGAGTACAATCATCATATGCCACTGTCAACATTTCAAATGTTTAAAGCACTTCATTACACAAAATTTAATGCGAATTCTTTGATCCATTTCTTTGATAGCAGAAAATCGTCGAACTTTTATGCCTTTCACCAACTAATTTAACATGCTAAACAGCTGAAACAGTGAACATTTGGTTGAGACGAGTGTAGCAACATAAAACATTTGAAAAAATCGCTAATCGAATGTACATAGCCCACGAAATTTGAACATTCCCCTCATTCTCTGAACAGTCCACGTATAATAGCCATATTGTATTCACTGAAACTTTAGAGTTTCCTGGATCAGGATATCAATTTGCTTAACTTGAAATGAAAATTATCATCATTCAAGTTGCCCTCAATGAAAAAGGGACCAATGATATGGTTTCATACAATCCCTGCCCAAACATTCTAATTGGATGATATTGTTATCCAACATTTCCATCATTTGCTCCCAAAAATAAGTTCTTCTATCAAAATCGTTTTCCATGAGCTCCCGAGTAGGTATCATTTTATAGGGATGCATTTTATTTTCTTTCAATATGTTTACTATCAATGTATGGCTAACTTTGAATGTAATGGATGCCTGTCTACTTGATGTATGTGGGTTTTCCTCAATCTCAAGCATCACATCTAATTTGAGTTCATCACTAATTGCATTGGCGCCTGCTTTTTTTATCTGCCCCACATGACCAAGCTCGCTAAACGGCTTCTCTATTTCACTTATTGTTCCTTGAGTGGTAAATTTCTCATACAATAGGCGAACTAGTTCCTGTTGTGTTCGGGTTTTATCTCCGTAACCAATCATTTGTAAAACTGTTATTTTATGCATTTCCGTTAATCTAACCATTTGTCAGACTTGGAAGCTAACGAACATTAAACTCAAATTAAAATACTGATAACTTATGTTATATACAAAACAAGTTTACTAGGCGTTTGAAAGTAACGTTTCCACTGAAATTATTCATAGTTTTTAAACGATACCATCTAAAAAGAACATTGCTATGGTTTTTGCTAACTTTCTTATTATCAATACCTCAACATGAAATAAGTTTTGAGTATATTGCAATAAGTTTTGAGTGTATTTTATCGAATTTCGGTAACCACATGATTTTAATTTATTTTATCTTAATTGTTGCAATAAATTTGAAAGCGATAACATATTTGAATTGAGAATAGTGTCCAACCGAAACTGGTTTTTACGACCGAAACCGAATTTCGGCAAGGGTCTCAGTTTCGGCCGAAACCGAAACTTCTTTACAAGGATGTTTTGAGGGAAAAATAAAGAAAAGGTTATTTTAATCAGTTAGTCTTTATTTTTTTATCTTTAAATCACAACGTTATGCAGTCTTCGACATTTTTACTTATTGATAATCCATAAAAAAAAAACCTTTTTTAAGAAAAAATATTAATGGCACCTTTAAAATACTTGAAATAGGTGAGGTATTTATTTGTGTTGTATTTCCAGAAAGAGACTCAAAAATCAATGTCGAAATTGAAAAACAAAACAAAAACCAACATACCTATATAATAAATTGATGAGGTGGATTGAATTTCTTCTCAGTTTCCTCGAAAATTAATTGAACCTTTTTTACTTTCTACTAGAATTTTCATTTATATTGTTATAATATCACCATATATAAATTGGTGAAAACAACTTCTGCACTGATACTTTTTCAAAATATCATTTTGAGATATAGGTACCGTAGGAGTTGTTTTTGAAAGCATCAGATAGTTCACTTGAAGTGATACAAATTCATTTCATTGTTAGACAACATACCTTATGAATTACTGTACCAAACTTGAATAATACTATTTCCAGCTCCTGGAACAAGTATCTGTCTTGACTCAAACGGTGACGCCCCACAAGGACTTCTTCAGAGCCCAATTTTTGCTAGCGTTTCCAAGAGGAGGGCAGTACCTCTTGGTAGTAGAGGCGTCGGTGATTGATGAACGAAGTAACACTTGGAAAACGGGTCCCAGGTCGACTTTGACCGTTAAAGTTCCCGAAGAAACTAAACTTGCGCCTATAGCAGTACCAGGCATGGCCAGCAATGCCAACGTGTAAGTTTACATAAAAACAGTCTTTTTATTATTGAAAAAACATTCTTAGTTCAGTTGTGGAAGGTTGGAATTGGCAGTCATCTCCGAATTCTTTGAACCTTCCATTTTTTTGGTATGGAATTGAGCTCTTCTTTCCCTCAACTTCTACACTAACTAACCCTTTGTGAAACACGAGGATGGATTTCAAATCAAGTAATTCATGGATTCATATCCTATTTGTACCCTGTATCATGACTTTTATGAAGTATCGTCACTTTTCACCATTTAGAAACAATTTCTTATTGTTTAATTACAAAAAAAGACAAAATTGCATTTTTTCTGATTATACTTTTGTTATCTTGGACACGGTAAATTTTACCAGGTTGGTCAAATTAGATAAAAGTGGCCTGCCAGGTAAACTACGGGTGGAACATTTTTTAACCCAAAATTTGCCTTTTTCATGTCAGTCGGTCAAGGTTCAAAGAATTCGGAGCGGAAAACTCTTGAGACTGAAATATTTGTCGAGTTTTCAAATAAACAATAATTCGTCTTTTTATTTTCAGAATTCTTATGCCTGAGGACAGTCTATTTGTTCGACCCCAACAGAAAAAGTCTACCTAGAAATAAACACTCAATTTTTGTAAATATTTATTGTTAATTTTTATATTGTAAAATTACAAAAATATTTTGTTTCAACAACCATATGTATTGAATTATACAAAAAATAAAATTTCAATAATAACAATTTGTAGAAATTCAGCCTGACAAATGCCCGCCGAAGCCTTGCAAATGATACAAATCCATAGAGAAATCATAACACGAGAGGGTACAGTTATGAACCAGTAACATTTGCTGGAATTACTGCATTTTCAGAATAGAATTTCACATTAATAATTAGATGTAAAACAAAAACAACAAACCATGTCCATAAACGTAATTTTGAATCGAATTGACCCAATAACAAATGTCTTGTTCAAAACGCTGTCCTCAGCTACACCTATAGAAAAAAGTTTGCTCTCATTAATTTTGTCACTTTAGTAAGGTGTCCATTTGCGGAACCAGTAAATTTTGAATTGACGTAAACTGATTACAATTCGGTATGGCATCACAAAAAAGCAAAAAAAAATATTAATAAGCAAATCTTCACAATCTCTCCCCTAAAAATATATAAAGTTGCATAAGTAACCCGGTTCAAAGTAAAATTGAAATTTCGAACCCAAACAAACATCCCAAAACATTCAACTTCTAGTGGAGAATCATTTTCAGTCTTTTTCATTTTCAGATTCCGAAATAGTAACCTCAGATTTTTTAGAATAGAAGGTGTTTACGGTCTTTTAGTCATATATTAGAGATAGAACATTTATATTTCATTTTGATATTTGAATCCTTATTCAGCCAAACGAATTACACAGTCTGTGTCATTTCACTATGTGACAAGTGGGCACGTCTACCGAACCCATTCAGATGGTTCACAAACCTCATGTTATCGATGCATTCAACTCGGTTGGAAATTATTAAACGTTACTGATTGTATATTTGCATGCAAGAACATTTCTACAAATTGGAATTCGCCGATGTTTCTCAGTTATGAAAAAGTGTACCAAAAATCTGCTACATCAGATTGACGAAGTTTTGACAATGTAGTTCAACATGCTTGAAAGTTTGGTGATTTTTACAATTTTGAGATGCGCTTGATTTGTATAATCATATGCTTGCTTTCATCTTCTATATGTGGTTATGATTGTTTTACTTTCATGCTTACATAAAGAATTTCAACAAAATATATTGAAGAAACAGAAATCAAACCATATTAAGATGCGAACGAGATCACTTGTATCCCCACACAAGTAGCTTACCTATCACTGTTATCATTCTTACAATCATAATCTTTGGTAATTTTTTTTTCAAACAAAAAATTGTATTAAGATTTTTCTATTCTTCACCTGAATATATATGTGGAATTGGCGTAAAGACCGTAAACACCCTTTATAAAGTTTTGGATAAATTTCAAAGATACACTTTTCAAATATACTATAAATTAAAGTTTTCACATTCTGAAGCAAATGTTCCAACCAATATTATTCGAGATATTATTATATTTCATAATTTGAAATCATCATTGATAGGGATGCTGACTGTATTCAAATAAAGATATAATTTTGCTGTGAACCGGTAGTTTCCACAATAGAAATCTTCAAAGTTGAAAAGCTTTTCAAATTTTTTAAAGAATTTGATCTTATATTTAACAATTCAAATGTGATTAAATTACTATTAAGTCACGTGTCAGCATCAAAGTGCATGACATCACTGGTGCACAAACAATTCTGTCAGTTTGAAAATGATTCCAAGGAGTTTTCCTAGGATGAAAAGTGAATTTAAGACAAATAGTATGAATTTATCGAGAATTAACTGTTTTACGGTGACCAATTTCTTCACAACAAACAATAACTTCTGCTTTCCACAATTTTGTTATGTGAAGAATTTGTTACATCACTTTGAGCATGTAATGTCATGGCGGTTACATGAAAGATTTATCTTTTTGGAAACACATTTAAATGATTGTTAAAGTAAAAGTTGTACTTGAAAAACTGTTTTAAATATTTTAGGGCCATATTCGATATTTCCAAGAATAGTCAGTATCCCTTTCATTCTAATATCTAATATTTTCCACTTGTAACAATTCTCCCATATCACAATATCGATAGTAAATTTCACTTCCATCATGTCATCTATTATTATATTTTCGTGAACGTTCAAATTTCCATTCACCAGAACATACAATGAGTACACATAACCTATAAATTGAATTGAATAATGTTTTTAGGAACAATTGTCTCATAAACTCCAATCAACTACCTATGGCGAAAATATCCATACCAAATGTATAATTAGCTTTCACGAATTAGTACGCTTTATATTTGCAGATAATTTTTCTTTTGAAGGTTGGTAGTTCTGCTTCAAAATGAAAACACGTCAGCTGTCTGGTGCTACCAACTAAAAAAATCCACTCATACGAGCTTAAAATTCTATACACCGCAAATTATGCGTTGAGGGGGTCCTTGAAATGCATTGTTTCTAATGAGACAAAGCAGACAATTGACAAAAAACATCCGATTTGACGCACATGTGGCCGTATATGTGGAATTTTATAGTTTGTAGAATAAGAAGGAAGAGATTTTTTTATTTTGAAGCAGAACTACCAACCTCCAGGTCTTAGTGTTGTTTGGGGAAAGAACATCCTTGCTGTTAACATGTATTTTTAGTGCAGTAAATGTATTAGCAACCCTCTTGCCCTTTATGCTTGTTTGGTTCTTTTCGCGATTTTTTTGTTACATTTAGACTAGATAAAACAGATTTGAAAATGGCACAACTAGCGAATAATTTTTGATTGAGCAATCTGAAGTAACTAACAATGCCACATTACGATGTATAACAACACATTACGATGTATAACTTCTAACAAAATATCAACAAGGTTTTATGAGACCAATATTCAGATACCTACAGTCAGATAATATCACTAGGGACAATGTGCGTATAACAGAAAATATTCATATTCTCATAAGTATTCGCCTGGAGTTAATCTCACGCTTTTATAACTGACATAAAAAGGTTATATAATCACAGATTACGAAACTACTGTAAAAAAATATAGATTAAATGCCGTTAAACGTTAACATATCTACCACATAACCCACCCCCTTCACGCTAAAACCACTACAAGACACCTACCACGGGCGTAAACCTATTGGTAGTAGGCCCCCGCTTATAATCCCTCAGAATGATCTCCTCCCGAGCGTAATCTCCGCTCTTACCGCCAGTCTTGCTTACCAAACGAATATCGCTTATGACTATGGCCTTGCTTACTGCTTTACACATGTCGTAGACTGTCAAAGCAGCAACGCTAACAGCTGTGAGCGCCTCCATTTCCACGCCGGTTTTTCCTTCACAGTTCACTGTGGCTTCTATCTCAACGGCTTGTTTCGTTACATCCAAGTGAGCTTTGATTTTGACGCTAGAAATGGTGATGTTATGACAGAGGGGGATGATTTCAGATGTCTTCTTCGCGCCTATTAGCCCTGCTATTTCGGCCATGGTGAGAACATCGCCTTTTTTAATGGAATTTTCGTGTATGAGTGTTGTTATTTGGGATCCGACCTGTACTGTGGCTGCTGCCGTGGCAGAGCGCTTGGTGATTGCCTTATCGGCCACGTCCACCATCTTGGCTTTCCCTTCTTCATCAGTGTGGGTCAATTCTTCTGGGACGTTTTGGTTAGTGGAATAGTGCCTTAGGGAATGAAGAGGTTGCTTCAAGGCATGCAAATGGAAAAGGGTTTGATGAATTGTTTTGGGGAAGGGTAATTTTTGGTGTGCTGAATGGACTGGTTGAGCATCTGCAAAAAAAAACAATGATGAAGGAATCGTTAAACAATGTTTCTTTTTATTTCTCCCGCAAAGCGAACCCCTATTCAAAAACGTAGAATCCTAGATGCTAAAGTCCTTGACAATATAGTTCATTCAACCAGGCGCCCTAAAAGTGAATAATCAACGGGAAGTGGCGATGAGAAATGTCACAAGTAAAGTTGTGTTTCAATAGCAAATCAAAAATTTTGATATCAATATCAACTTTAAACAATAGCTACTTGAAAGAACTATCTAAAACTTTCAAATAATTGAATTTTGGATAAGTTGAAGATATATTCTCCAAAACAGTAATTTCTGGGGATATTTAGTTCCAAAGTTGATAACCAAATGAATCAACAAACTTGTATGTCAGTGTTATATCAGCTTTCTGTTACTTGTCAGTCATTATTGGCATTGCTGAATGTATTTTCTATGAATGAGGGCGAATCAACTTTGTCCACCATGAGTAGTTCTATGAATTTTATGAAAAGCTTAGAAAACAATTCTCAATTTCCCTTTGGCATTGAACAATAGTCTTTTTTTGTGGAGGAATCAGGGTTATGATTGACCTTTTCTGGGACTCATTTCCCAATGTAAAAAAATAAAAAAACTCCTATTTTATCCTGATAAGTCACTGTGAAAAATCATGATAACAATATTCTGGTAAGCTTTGATGTTGAAAGCCTTTTTACCCCCCGTTGTCCTCATATTGCATCTGAAGTTTTTCAATTACAGTTACGACGGTTGCACGAAGATTATCAAGGCTTTGGAGTTTGGATTCGACTTGGAAAGTGATTCAATACTGGTATCGTAGAAGACACAGTATCCAGAAGAGAAGCAGTACAAACTATTAGCCGTGGTATGGCGGGGTGGCTGTCCTTGTACCTCATTCACTGCCTGAACCACTGTGCATGCTGTTTTTGGCGAATGCATTGTCTTGGGATGTGGGGGTTGAGCAAACCGGCCATCGGATGCCTGCTTCCACGTAGCCCTGCTGGATACGGGAATGACAGAATCACTTGTGGTTCTGTTATTCCCTAACTGAATGGCATCCCACCGATGACTTAATCCTAAGGTGTGTGTATCCGTGCCTAGAGGATGAATGACACTGAGCCTGTCTCTAAGGAACCTTCGAAATACCGGGCGCCCTATCGTCGTAGCATCGCCTTGTCACGGTAATGCGGGGCTCTGCTGTGATTGACCTTCTTTCCCTAGCTACTCGTGGGACTTTTATGGACAGAGTAAACTCAAAAATTCTTTCTGACGCTGATTCTATAGAGGAGATGGATGTCGAATTTACGACTCCAACTGACCTCCCTGTAAATTTAGTTCAGGAGCGAGTCTAAAAAGGAGATGGATGTCGAGTTTACCTCATTAACGATGGAACAGCAGAGCATATACTTTGTGCCTGCCCTGTTGGGACCGAATCAGGTTTCTCAGGTTCTGCAGAGCCGTACTTTTACAACCTAACCTGAAAGAGTGTGAATAGGTGTGAATAGTGTGAATAGGTGTGAGCCACAATAAACCCTTGCGGGTTGCGGTGGAGGGTCGAATAGACCCACTCACTTTGGACCTAACCTAATCTAACCAGTAATTAGCAGACTTTTTAACCTGTCGTATAAGGAAGGGGTTTTTCCTTCTTGCAAAGAAGTAGCTTTCAGACACAAACTAAAAAAAAAAACAACGAATTTCATGTAATCATTGAATTTTACCAAAAATTATTCTCTAACAACAAACTAAACAAAAAAAACAACGAATTTCATGTAATCATTGAATTTTACCAAAAATTATTCTCTTACCCTTTTCAATTCAAACATCAAAAATGCAGTAAATGGTGAAGAAACACAAAACAGTTAATAAAACTTTTCAGCATCATTTTCTCTTTTACCCACCGGGTTTCACAAAATCAAAGGTACATTGCAGCCTGATGATATTCTATGTCTAAATAAAGTGAAGGCAAATGTGAGTTTGTAGTAAAGTTACCGTTGCAAGGTAAGCATAAGAAAAAAGCTGGTTATGAACTCAATCAAGTCAAGTTAAAACGGAACAGGAGAAAGTCGAGCGTATCTACAATTTTAAGTAACAATGAAATAGGTTAGGTATATGGTATTGATGGAGTTAGTTATCTTGTTGACAAAAACATGGATTCAGATGATCTTAAAACAGTTAATTTAGGTTCATGCTTCAATACTGAATCTAACACACTAGTGATGATCGGAATGATAAACGTTCACAAATTGTAATGTACTAGATATCCCTTATCCGATTTACGTCAGAAAACAATCACAAAATGTTGACATTTGATCCAGAAAAGATATGAAATTTCATAACACACGCCAAAGCTGCTATCAATTTTTTTGGTTATTCAATAGAACTTAATATGATTAAATATTGATTAAGTCAATATAACAAGCATCAAAAAGATGGTTATTATATTGTGATACTTGATGAAAATCACTAGTTTATTCAAGTAACACTTATTCATTATTATTCATCTGATAGAGCAATGAACACAGTCTCCTTAAAAAGTCAGATTCAGAGTTTTGCCCCTCGATTCATGTGTCATGCGCATCAAGACGCCCATGAGTTCCTTCGTTATCTTTTAGAAGGTTAACATGATGACGTTAATAGAATTATCGAGAAAGCTAAACCGACTTAGACGGAGATTGACGAAAAATTGAGCGACAGCGAAAAAGCGCAAGAGTCATGGCTGATTTATTTGAGTACATATAACTCCAGGATTGTAAATAATTTCGTTGGTCAATTAAAATCCACGATGAAGTGCACACATTGAGGAGACTCATCTTTAACCTTCGATCCTTTCTGGGATTTGTCACTCCCCATACCACAAAGAATCGTGTGAGTGGAGATGCATACATCCTCTTTTATGAAAAGGAGGAAACAAGTTCGCACCTTTGAGCGTTTTGAAATGTTATTTTTGTACTGTTGTTTTTAATGTTATAATGAATTAGTCATTTAAGATTTATGTCATATTATATGTAAAGTATTTTTAACACTTATTGTTAGAAATCAAAAGTGAAAACTATCAAGGAGAGATACATACAAATAATGAAAATAAATATTTTGAAATAATAATCTTTCCCAACCACCTACACTGTAGGGTCTGGTAAACGTCTGTCGGATGTTCGAGGAACCTTCGCCAATCAGGACTTCATGGAATCCCGGGAAAACAATTTTTATGCTTACGGTATTACCAGACTTGTGTTATGTTGGTAAAGGTGCACTGATTCAATTGACATTTATTTTGATTGAATTGAACAAGTATTTACTGAGGCATTACAGTTTTAGACTCATGAAAACGGACAAAACTTTTGAAACAACGTAATAATAAAATACGTGCTATTACCTAGATTGAGTTTGGTTCAACACTTTCAAGATTTATATTGAAATAATCGTCTTATTACACAAACATTTTCTAAAAGAGTGAAATTTTGAAACTATTCAGTAATAGTGAAAGTGAATAATAATATTCAACATTTGCTTTACATTTCATGAAAGAGAAAAAATAAACGGGGATATCTAGTAAGTTGATACATGATTGCTTACTCTACCTTGAGTAAAAACTATTTCTCATCCACCTATTAGAATCATTGGTCGATTTGCCATTTGTGAAATGTTCATCATGCCTGTAAAAATAGTATATTAACACATACAATTTTTACCCTAAGTAGGCACTCACAATATGAGAAACTGAAGAAGAATGAACATTGTTATTTACATACATCATTGATAAGACAAATAAAAAGATATAACACAAGCGTTAAGTCACTTAAATGCTATTTTATACACAATCTTTACTTTATGTACTGAAATTACTGTCTTTAAATCTGTCTCTTCGTTAGTGTTTTATTTTCTGTATTGTTGAGTATCAATTAAATAAATGAATAAATAAAAATTAATCGAAGCTACTATTCTAAAATTTGTTTTGATTTTCTATGGTAATTTTCCAAAAGGTAAACAGTAAACACATTTTTCAATAATAATATGACATTCAATCAATTCTCTGAGCTTTATAGCCCGGCTTTACGAGAGCCTTGCCTGTGTGAATGAAGCAACTTCCCTTGGATTCAAATCGCTGCACGGAGACTGTTCAAAAAATAAGGCGAATGTTTATACATTCGACTGACGATTTTTCAAATTTTTTTTATGCTGGTACATTTGTCTCAGGACTGGATCCCTCGGGAGAAGCAGCAGAGCAGATAGTTGTGGGTTCACAGATGGATCAAAAACCCTTCCGGTTCTGGTGAATGTGTTTTCAGTTGCAGACCCAGGACAGAGATATCAACCTGCCTAGGAATCTATGCGACTGTATATCAAGCGGAAATTTACGCTATCGAATTGTGTGCGGAGAGATTGAAAGAATCCAACCTCATACACAAGTCAATGAAAATATTCTAGAGCAGTCAAGCGGTGTTGGAAGCTCCTGGCTCCTACTGAGCAACGTCTAAACTGGTAGCATATTGCCAAAAACGGATCCTCGATAGGAAGAATTAACAGATTGTCTCTGGTCTGGATGCCAGCAGCCTAGATGCCTTCCAGGCTATACTGGCCTTGAAGGCATCTAGGCTGCAGCACCCTACTTGCAAAGTAGGGTGCTGCAAGCAGCTTCATCGGACCAGAATCTGTCATTGGCATCGCTTTAGGCTTTGCCAAACAAAGATTGAACACCTGGATGGCAAGAAGAGTTATGGACTTCTCGCAGAATCTTCCAGGATTGGCTCACTTCAAGGCGTTTATTTACCCTTCGAAGTTTGATATCAAACAGTTGTTGGACTTCAGCAGGGATGAACTACGATGCCTAACAGGCCTTCTTACAGGTCACTGTCATTTGAATCATCAAATGCAGAAACTCGGACTGTCGGAAGGCAGTGTGTGTCGCCTCTGTTTGGAAAATGATGAAACAGCAGAGCACATACTTTGCGCCTGCCCAGCTGGGCACCGAATCAGGATTTTAGAGTTCGACAGAGCCGTACTCTTACCATCTGACCTGAAAGACCACTCTCCATACGAACTAATCGGCTTCGTAAAGAAGTTGGTTTTTTTAGTTGAGTGTGAATAGGTGTGAGCCACAATAAACCCTTGCGGATTGTGGTGGGGGGTCGAATATACCCACTCACTTTGAACCTAACCTAACCTAACATTTGTCTCGAACATATGTATTTATTTTTTATTTATTAAGTAGGCAAGCCTAATATACAAAAAATCTAAGGACTAACGAGGTCTTACCTTTTAACGTGTGATTCCTAACACGGGTTGGACGATAGCAAATGAAAATCGATCGTTCAGCCTGCGGCTTGAACAGACACATCGGCCGATTGACTGAGTCAACAAAGCACCCACGTCGAACCGCCTGGCTACCGACCGCCAGTTTTAGCTGTTTAGCATGCCCTAGTTTGTTGGTGATAGGCATGAAAGATAGAAGTGTTCGGCGATTTTCTGCTACCGAAAAAAAAGTTTGGCGGCAAAGTTAGTTCCAAAATTGTTGAATTTCGACCAAAGAAACCGTAACATGAGCATCGCTCATGACTTCAACGGCGATCCAGATTTGCTTGAAAGAGTCATAACTGGTGACGAATCATGGGTTTAGGGTTATGACATTGAATCCAAAGTCCTATCGTCCTAATGAAAGAGCCTAAGAGAGCCAATACCAAAAAAGGCTCGCAAAGTTCAACCTGATGTCAGGGTTTTGCTCACCGTTTTCTTTAATTAACGTGGTGTACAGCAAAAAGTTCTTGTCACTTGGCTTTTGCATCACGATAATGCACCTGCTCATTCGTCATTGCTTGTTCGTTGGCCAAAAACAATATCACAATCATGCTTCAGGCACCGTATTCACCAGATTTCGTCCTCTGCGACTTTTTCCTGTTCCCACGGTTGAAGAGACTCATGAGAGGACGGTGTTTTGCGACGATTGAAGTGATAAAAACCGAATCGCTGAGAGAGCTGAAGGATATACCAAAAAGTGCATATTAGAACTGCTTTAAGGATTGGGAAAACCGCCGGAACAAGTGTGTGTTATATCTGGGAAGACTACTTCGAAGGGGATAGAATAGTGTTATGTTTTTCCCCGTTGGTTCAACACTAATTGAGTACACTGGATAATCAAACTTAACTTTATTTCACTTTAGATACTTCAACTATTATTTGCAACGTGGATTGTATGGTCTCCTTCCTGAACGACAACATTCTTAATATTTTCGAAAAACACGCCCCTTCTCAAACGAAGAGAGTAACCAAACCTCCTGCACCTTGGTTAACTTACACTATAAAATTGATGATTGCACTCAAAAACCGAGCTCTGAGTAAATACAAGAAATCTTTATCTATCGCTGATTGGAATAGCTATAAGGACCTCAGAAATTATACATGTAGTGCGATGCGACGTGAGAAAAAAGCATATCTGGACTTTGTTTTAAGAAATAAAAATTCCAAAGCAACTTGGAATACCTTAAGAACGCTTGATATCCTGAGGAACAACAAAAAATCAAATATCCCTGATGAATTAAAAGACGTCAATCTCATTAACCAGCACTTCAATTCTATACCTCAACCTATCAGATCTGCTCACCAATTGTCCTTATTAGATCGATATGTTAATTTGGAAGAAACTGAAAACGACTTTCACTTCACCTCAGTCACCTATGAGATTGTGCGAAGTTCCCTGAGACGCATCAAGAGCAACGCTTTGGGTTCTGACGGGATACCCCTCAAAATGATCAATCTCATTGATTCTTTAATAAATCACTTCACCTTTCTCATTAAATTTATCATTACCAGTTGCCAATTTCCAAAATGTTGGAAGGATGGATTGGTTATCCCTCTGGCTAAGTATAACTCACCTACTGTCTTTTCTGACTTAAGACCAATTACAATTCTACTGTATCTCTCTAAAGTAGTGGAATCGATTCTGAAAAATCAGATTAATGAGTACGTCAATAAAAATCATATTATAACATCTGTACAATCAGGATTCAGCATAGTACCACCACAGCTCTTCTGTCAATTACTGACGATATTTTTCAAGCTGCAGATGAACAAAATTTGACCTGTTTAATACTTCTAGATTTCAGCAAGGCATTTGGCACTCTAGATCATGAGATATTGTGTGACAAACTTGTCCACTTCGGTTTTTTTCGGAAGCAGTGCTTCTCTTAGAAAACTATCTGAAGAATCGTACTCAAAGAGTTGTTGTGAATGAAGTTATTTCAGATGCTCTGCCGGTATTGAAGGGAGTGCCACAAGGATCTATCCTTGGGCCCTTGCTTTTTAGCTTGTATATTTGTGACTTTTGTCTGTCCGTGAAAAAATGCAATATACATCACTATGCAGACGACACGCAGTTATATTTCTCTTTTTCGCCTGACGAGTCTACATCTGCACTGTCGAATATTAATAACGATCTCCAAGCCATCTTTGATATTTCTACTGCCCATAAGCTCAAGCTCAATTCAGACAAATCCGCAATAATGATGTTCGTAGCTAAGAAGAACAGAGAGCTCACCAACTCTACCTTTCAAGTTCGCATCGAAAACGATATACTTCCCTCTGTGGACGAGATAAAAAATTTAGGATTGCAGTTTGATCTGGGTCTTCGCTTTACTAAACATGTCAGCTATCCGAACCAATCTTCTTATAACGTTCTCAGACAGCTTTTTCCTAATCGTGATTTGCTCAACACAAACTCAAAACTTAGACTATGCGAGTCTCTGATTATGTCAAAAATTTCCTATTGCGACAGTATTTATGGACCTGCTTTAAAACAATTGGATGCTCTCCGACTACAGCGTATTCAGAATAGCTGTCTACGTTTCTCGTTTGCAAGAATCAGGATGGTTAAATGTTGAGAAACTTAAAACTCTACACCTTCTTACCAACACACATAAAGTTTTGATTTCTCGACAACCTGATTACTTACTGAAGAAGCTCAAAACATTCTCTACGATTAACAGCTGTACTACAAGGAATAGTTCAGTTCTAGTCATCCCCAAACACAAATCTTCCATCTTCACCCGCTGCTTCTCGTATAATGCACTCAAATATTATAATCAACTACCCTGCAAATTTCGATCATACACCATAGTAAAGTTTAAAAAAAATGCATAGTTAATACCCAAATCACTGAAAAATGTATTGAATTCATCAGCCGTATTTTTTTATCTGACACATATATTTGTTTAGGGCGGTTTTTAAATCTTTGTTTCAGTTCTTTATTTGCCAGATATACTATTGATGCATGTTCATAATTTGTTTGAAGATCTTTCGTTGTATTGTAGAAGCAAATTGAAGACTTTTTTTTATTTCAATTATGTAGAGTTCTCTCTTAAATTAAATGTTGGACATCAAAAACAAATGAATCAATTGAAAATTTTTAGAAGTAAAAGAGGGACAAGGGATCTTTCAAATGATATACTCACCCTCCTGCTGATCACAAGGGGGTGTTAATCTGATATATTGGTCATCTGCCCCTTTAACTTTTATATGAATGACGATTATATCACTTTATGAATTCTAATTATTTGTATGTAAAGTTACCATTGGATACATTTTCAATGGAAAAACCTCTAATAGGTGACTTCCTTCATTGTATTTTTCCAAACAGTTCAAGTGAAATATGAGACAAAGTATACCTGCATGTTGCTTCTTCTTCCTCTTTACTGCAGCACTGATCAAAGCTGACAAATCATCCTCAGAACAATTATTTCTTATAGCATCTCTCAAGGACACCTCTGTGTTTCCAAAAAGACACACTTTCAAATTTCCATCAGCAGTTATTCTTAACCTATTACACGTTCCACAAAAGTGCTCGCTCATCGACGTTATGAACCCCACTTGCCCCTTATAATCAGGTACTTTCCATGCCTTTAAACAAGACGAGATTTATCAAACTACAAAAATGATTTATTAGAATAGTTCAATTTTTCGTAACCCAGCTAGTTGGACTCCTTCAGTCTTCAAATATTTATAAGGAATACGACTCCTCTGAATAATTTCTTTACCTTTGATGTGTCATTAGGGCCATTTTTGAGAGGAGTGAAATCATTCCATTTTTCTTTTATCTTGTTGACCATTTCTTTATAGGAAACCAGCTTATCTACCTCCCACTTATTACCTGTGAAGGGCATGTATTCAATGAATCTAATATCCACATTTCTGTCTTTTGTCAGCTCAACAAAATCCAATATTTCATCATCATTGAAACCTGAAGTAAAACTTGCTGAGGAACTTTGTAATTCTGATATTAAGTTACCAACCCTTCATAACAACACAGTTAACTTTTACGGGTTTATACCCCAATTGTAATGCTAAATCAATACCCATCATAACTCTATTCCAACCCTTTCTTCTTGATATGAATTCATAACGATCAGCCTTCAAGGTATCCAGACTTATATTCAGTATATCTAGACCAGCCTTCTGCAACGCTATTAATTGCTTGGTCAGAACTAGACCATTTGTAGTCATAGCCACGACTTCTAAGCCTTTTAGTTTCTTTAAGTTATCTGAAACCGTAACGATGGTTAACGTCCAGTGATACGATTTTTATGTTAGCTATAAGGTTGGTTGAGTTTACCAGGGTAATTGTTCCACTCATCCAAATAAAGAAGAATAATTTTCCCAACGATTGTTGTTTCAATTTTTGAAATTAAAAANACTATTAGGAACTGCGAGTGAAAACTTTCTGGATTACATACATAAATTATAGACACAATATGGAGTGAAATTATCTATGCCGAAGTATAAACACAAATATTTTTGACTGATTTACCGATTCTAAGAAAAGTTTTTTACTTATTCGTTAGCTTTGGAAGTCAGATAAAGAATATCCATGTACATATTCTCTGATAACTTGATGATTATCACATTGGTTCATCAAACAATAACTTTTGGATTCACTAGAATCGTTATGAAGAATTGTCTTTTATACGTCTATATTTGAATGTTTGTGACTAAGATTCCTCAAGTCAATAACCAATATTTTCCTTATGCCAGACATTCGAATCACGTTACCTAGATTTCGCCACTCTATTGTCTTCGAAAAAATACAATGTCTTGAATTAACATTTTGTGAAGTTCCGTATACACCATGTATGCAATGATTCATACATGGTGTATACGGAATTGGGTCAGTCTAGTACCCAAGCACCCAGCTAACGATACAAATACAGTACTTTTGAAACGCATTCATTTTTATGAAACGTTCACGACAGCTGGGATCCTAAGCACTTCAAAATAAACGTCAGATGAGTGATGGGTTTGATAGTTCAGGACTTATTGCGAGCCGTTTCAGTGGAAAATTGAACTAGACAGAATTCATTGTTTTTCTCTATGTTTATTTCAGGGAAAAACGAAGATAGTGAAAAACCTCATTTCTATAGGTAATATGAATCACAACTTGGACCACGCATGTGCGGCATGCTTTCAAGTCGTGCAAAAAATCAGAAAATACTCATACATTCATTCATTTTTATGTAATATTTTCAAATCTATTCAATCCAATCATACTACTTATTAGCTGCTCTACGGTTATAAAAGATGATATTCGAAGCTGAAGTTAGTACGAGAGCTGAAAGCATCTCTGACGTTTGTAAACTCGCGAAAAATCATTGATTTCGTCCTCCTCTACTGCCTCGAACCTATTTGAAGGTGCCCCTGGCCATAATGCAGTTCAAAAAAGTAACTCACGTTATATTCGATATGGATGGACTCTTGATTGGTGAGCAGTTTCCCAATTTGTTTGCAAATTTTGAAAATTTAAATAAATGTTCTGTACCTATATTATCAAAGAGATTGTGAGGTCAAAATATGTTTAATATTTGGCAAAATCTAATCTTTGTTGTTATAGGACAAATTTTTCTTTGATCAACCGGCACAAAAATAACCACAGTCATTGTCTGCAAAATAAAGTTCTTATTAATTGCTCCTTACAAATATCGAATCTTAAACTACCTAGGTCTTTCAGTTTCAAATATTGGTTTTCATCCTAGTCAGTGCTTCTTTGTGTTCTGCCACCAATTCAACAAAAATCAAAATATGCAATAAAATCTAGTATATGTGCACTCTAACATATGTATGCATATTTGAACATGTGTTTTCTCTGTGCTGTCACAGGATTTTTGAAGGACTCTGATCGGATTACAGAGTATTCTGACCTTGACCTTGATGCTTCCATTCGAGGAAATACCTCCTTACACATGGATTATAGTCTTTTGTTTCCAATGAAATGTTCTCAGACTGAAAAGTCTTGAAAAAATTAGGTAATATTTTCAGTAGTGGGCGAGTCATTGATATGATTAAAAAATACATTATCCATAAGAATATGTATGAGCTTGAGATGAAAACCAA